GTTGCTTAAGGGGGCTAATAATATTGACCTTAAAACTGTTTTAAAACTGCTTTTGTTCTAGCCGAAATAAAACAAATAAGACTTTCTACAGAAGAAAGAATATTAAAGGAAATACTGTGAGAAATTCCTGAATCTGTTCAACATCATTTGGGAAATATTGGAGAAAGAAAATGAAATTAACAGGACGGTGAAACATTTGGACTATTTTAAACACTATATTCATGCAGATATTTATATAGCCAAACAATATACACAATACGCACAAATATGTTTAGTCAATATGAACTTTTCAGCACAAAAAAATAATAATATTAATATTACCCTGGCGCAGTAGGTAGTACAATTGCCTCACAGCAAGAAGGTCACTGGTTTGAGCCTCGGCAAGGCCAGTTGGCATTTCTAAGTGGAGTTTGCATGTTCTCTCCATGTTGGCGTGGGTGTCCTCCGGGTGCTCCGGTTTCCCCCACAGTTCAAACACATGCACTATAGGCGAATTGGATTAACTAAATTGGCCGTAAGTGTGTGTGAATGCTGGAGTAGTTGGCGGTTAATTCCACTGTGGCGACATCTGAAATAGAGAATAAGCCAAAGGAACATGAATGAATGCTTAGTTTTTAATGTCAGTTTCAGTAATGTTTTGTGAGATTATCTTTGGCAGATGTACAGTAAACACTGATGAAATAACTTTTACATTTTAGGGATTTAAATATTATGTTGCTCCCAGAAAAATGACTAAAATTTAAGGAATATTACGGTTGTCAAATGATTATTGTGATCGCACCCAAGATAACAGTTTGTATTTACATAATATATACGCGTACTGTGTATATTTATGTGTATATATGTATAAATACACACACATACTGTGCATAAAATACCAAAGAAATATATTTACATGTATTTATATTTGCATATAATTTGTATCATATATATATACATACATATAAATTAAATATTAAATATAAAGAAATTCCTTGCTCCTTTAAATATCACTTAAGAAATATTTCTAAAAGAATTGCACAGGAGGGGAGGGCGGATAATTTTGCCCTTAACTTTGTATTTGTAGCCTAAAATGACAGATTTTTTTGACTGCATTTCTCAAAATGTACGTCAATACTTGCTTCAACTCTTGTTTTCTGCTGTGAAAATATAGCATAAAAAATAATCTCAAGAATTAAGGTACTGTTCAAAGCCGAAACACTATTGCAGCACATGTATACTGAGACTGACCCTTGATAAACAAACCAAAATGCGCTGCAGTGTTAGTCGTAGCACGTGTAATGATTCATATTCTCTAATCTTTGTTTGCTAGCAGAGACACAATTCAGTTGTTGCGAGGCCGGAAACACAATGGCCATGGCTGTGTATATACGCAAGTGCTGATCTTGGCTTATTTTCATAAACCGCCAGAAATAGACACTATCACTTCTTTTGCTTATGGAAAAATTGCAATGTGATCTGGCTGAAAGTGATACAATGTTCTTTTTCAAGTGCAGTATTTGTTATTATATCACTTATAAAGAAGTGAGATGGACAGTAAATATTTACAGTATTTGGAAAATCAGTATGTATCAGATTATTAAAGCACATATTATTCTGGCGTGAATATGAAAACATCAGTAATATTCTGACCTGTCAATATGTAAAGCTGGTTGTTGCCATGATCTGAAATGGTAAAATGGGAAATTATTAACAGGTCGGCTTTTGTTTGTGATGAATTACATTTGGAAAGGTTTAAGCAATGGGTTTTGTCTTGATAATGAAATTCATTACCATTTATTTATTAAATATGAATGCATTTCATGTTAGGGAAGCTTTTATTATGGCTTGATGAGATCATTTTACTTCCTATTATACTCCATAATTTAAATTCTTATTGGTACTATTTTTGCTTTTTGAATATGATTTGATTACACACAGATATTGAAATGAATTTATGTAATATTTGCAGTGCTGCTGGGTACTTACAAATTGTGATATGTTACTTATAAATCGCATGATGAAAACCGTACTCATTAACGAAATTTATTAGATTAGTAATGCAATTTTAGGCAATGTAATCTAACTACTTTTGGATGACTTTTACATTATAATTACTCACTGAAAATGTAGCCTGTAATACAATTTTGTAGATTACTTGTACTTTTGGATTACTTTTAGATTATAATTACTGACTGCAAATCTAGTCAGTAATGTAATTTCATAGGTTACTAGTACTTTTGGATTACTTTTACATTATAATTAGTAATTACTGACTGAAAATGTAGTCAGTATTGTAATTTTTTAGATTACTTGTACTTTTGGATTACTTTTAGATTATAATTATTGAACTAAAATATAGTCAGCAATGTAATTTCTTAGATTACTCATACTTTTGGATTACTTTTAAACTATAATTACTATACTAAAAATGTAGTCAACGATGTAATTTCGTAGATTACTTGTACTTTTGGATTACTTTTAAATTATAATTAATTACTATACTAAAAATGTAGTCAGTAATGTAATTTTGTAGATTACTTGAACTTTTGGATTACTTTTAAATTATAAAAAATACTGATCAAAAATGTAGTCAGTGATGTAATTTCGTAGATTACTTGTACTTTTGGAATAGTTTTAGATTATAATTACTCACTGAAAATGTAGTCAATAATCTAATTTCATAGATTCATGTACTTATGGATTCCTTTAGATTACTTTTAAATGACTGAAAATGTAGTCAGTAATGTATTTTTGTAGAAAACTTGTACTTATGGATTACTTTTAAATTCTATATAATTACTATACTAAAAATGTAGTCAGTAATGTAATTTCATAGATTACTTGTACTTTTGGATTACTTTTAAATGACTGAAAATGTGTTCAGTAATGTAATTTCATAGATTACTTGTAATTTTGAATTTTTTCAGATTATAATTACTGAATGATAATGTAGTCAGAAATGCAATTTCATAGACTACGCATACTTTGGATTACTTTTAAATTATAATTAATTACTATACTAAAATGTAGTCAGTAATGTAATTTTGTAGATTACTTGTACTTTTGGAATACTTTTAGATTATAATTACTCACTGAAAAGGTAGTCAATAATGTAATTTCATAGATTACTTGTACTTATGGATTACTTTTAGATTACTTTTAAATGACTGAAAATGTAGTCAGTAATGCATTTTCGTTGATAACTTGTACTTATGGATTACTTTTAAATTCTGATTAATTACTATACTAAAAATGTAGTTAGTAAGGTAATTTCATAGATTACTTGTACTTTTGGATTATTTTTAGATTATAATTACTCACTAAAAATGTAGTCAGTAATGTAATTTTGTAGATTGCTTGTACTTTTGGATTACTTTTAGATTATAATTACTCACTAAAAATGTAGTCAGTAATGTAATTTTGTAGATTGCTTGTACTTTTGGAATACTTTTAGATTATAATTACTCACTGAAAAGGTAGTCAATAATGTAATTTCATAGATTACTTGTACTTATGGATTACTTTTAGATTACTTTTAAATGACTGAAAATGTAGTCAGTAATGTATTTTCGTTGATAACTTGTACTTATGGATTACTTTTAAATTCTGATTAATTACTATACTAAAAATGTAGTTAGTAAGGTAATTTCGTAGATTACTTGTACTTTTGGATTACTTTTAGATTATAATTACTCACTAAAAATGTAGTCAGTAATGTAATTTTGTAGATTGCTTGTACTTTTGGATTACTTTTAAATTATAATTACTCACTAAAAATGTAGTCAGTAATGTAATTTTGTAGATTGCTTGTACTTTTGGATTACTTTTAATTATAATTACTCACTGAAAATGTAGTCAGTAATGTAATTTTGTAGATTATTTGTTCTTTTGGATTACTTTTAGATTACTTTTACATAACATTAATTTAGATGTGATTTTCTGCTAAAACAGGTAACAGGTTGTATTAGTTAATGTATTTACTAACATAAACAAGCAATACATTAATTACAGCATTTATTAATCTTTGTTAATGTTAGTTAATGGAAATAAAGTTGTTCATTGTTAGTTTATGTTATCTTATGGTGCATTAACTAATGTTAACAAGCATGAATTTGGGTTTTTGTAATGTTTTGGTAAATGTTGAACTATGATTGTGTTGTTCATTAATAGTTCATGTTAACAAATACAGTAACTAATAAAGCCTTATTGTAAAGTGACCACATACACTGTCATTTAATTATAAAATGCATTCAATTCTGCATTATTTATATATCATTATATACACTGTGTTTGTTATTTATTAAACATATTTCACTGTAATATGTGACGTGCTTAGTTCTAAGTAAAAGCAGGCATTTTTGTGCTATTGTCATAAACTCTCATGCATATCTTAATGCAAACTCAATTTAAATCATGCATTGGTAAAAAAAATGCAGCTCTGCAAGCTGAAATATACTAGTGTTTGAACACTATTCAGAGTGAAACTTTCAGTGTGTCAGGATGCCAACAGTACACAATGTTCCCTTCCCTCACTAAACCAACTCCCCCTATGTGCAGCTGCCTTGAATCGCATCGTGACCTTTAGATTAAAGCCATTAAAATCCTCTAGACATTGTTCTTTATTCATGTACACACATCCAATTCTTATTTAATAATACAAGTGGTAAAGTTTGTGCGTAGAAATCTCCGAATTTCAACTTTAAACAGTTGTTTGGGAAAAGTACCAAGAGTACAATGCAATATACAGGACAAAAAACGGACCATAGCATAGTTTCAAGGAAAGGGGGTGATTGCTTCAAACACTAACACGGATTTGTCTTTAAATAAATGTGTGTAGAAAATAAAAACATTAGAAATTGTGTATAATCCAAGGTTTTAAATATTAAAATGCGATTTTGTAATAACAGTAAATTTAAAAATAATAACAGCACATCGGCATCCTGCTCAAAGTTTCCCCCGTGCAGATTAATGGTATCGCCCTCAAGCACTTATATCGTCCCAAAACCGTACAAGAGTTTGATTTACTCACGACACGCACTTCATTTGGATATTTAGAGCTGTACACGGTGTTATGAATGTGCTGGTCATGTATATTATTCAGATACACGTTCGGAAGCTTTTCTCAGAGTTTTATCTTTGAATGACTCCCTGCCAAATTATTACAACTGGACTCAACTGGATTAAGAACATAAATACGTTTACTTTTCGCATTTTTGCCGTCGGTTTATTCGTCGTCTTACATTTAAACTTCGGATAAGTGTCTTTAATCGTTTGACAATACGATTTGCAGTGTTTAAAGGGGCTTTCTTCACTTCTGCAACACGACCCATTGTTGATGAAAGGATGTCATCGTCTGCAGAAACGTTCTCCTACATCGAGATGAGTCGAGTCAGCCCTGCTGGCACTGGTATGTGACTTTATTTCTGTATTATATTCATGGTATCTGTTTATATTTGGTGGTTATTCTGTTCAAGTCACTCTGCCTTTGTTCTGGTTCAAATACAGCCCTAAGTGTCAAACGCTAATCTTGGGAACAACAGCACGTCGGTGTTCGGTTAACTTAACGTAACATTTGCGATAGTTAAGTTGGTTAATATGATGGAAAAGTGAGTTAAGCCGGTCTTTTGGCTTTTCTTTCGTTGAGTTCTGCATGTCTCAACATGTCACCGCCGAGTTCATCGAGGTCAGCAGCGCAGGAATATATCGGGCCCTGAGAAGTACCAGTTTCTACTACGGCGAAGCGTTAGCTTATGAATATTAAACAGGCAGTGGTGACGCAGCTTGGTAACAGTCCTGAAGCGTCCAATCAACAGCTTGATTTATATTCATGACCCTCGCAAAGTCTTTATTTGAGCCAATCGTAGCGGCCCTCTGGTGTCACGTCACTTTATCTTGTAAATATTCACAGTCCATTCACACTCTCCATAGTAGGATTCATGAGTTCTCAAGCGGGAATACCGAGGAAATCCTGAGCGCTTTTCTGTCCACAGCTGTCACCGTAGACAGTCTGCACATACTTCCAGACAGGCGTCTTTCTAGACACATACTGTAACTTTACACTGTATTACTGCTGGCAGAGTTACTAGTTGAATGACGAGGGAATAAGCGAGAGTTCACGCAAAACGGACAATTCTGTCCAAACATTTTCTCTCTCTGTTGAACACTAAAGATATCTTGAAGAACGCTGAAAACCGGTAGCCATTGACTTCCATTGTTGTGTATTTCAATGGTTACCGATTTCTAGCATTCTTCAAAGTATCTTCTTTTTGTTTTTAACATAATAAAGTTACTGATAAAATGACGAGTGGAATAAGCGAGAGTTTAAGCGATAGTTCACGAAAAACAGAAAATTCTGTCATGATTTACTGCCTCTTTAGTTGTTCCAAACATTAATTTTCTGTTGAACATTACAGAAGATATTTTGAGAAAAGCTGAAAACCGGTAACTATTGACTTGCATTGTTATGTATTTCAGTGGTTACCAATTTCCAACATTCTTCAAAATATCTGTTTAACAGAATAAAGAAGCTCATAAAGGTTTGGAATCACTTGGGGATGATTGAATAGTGAGTAAATTGTCTTTTTAAACAAATACTGTAATGTTACACTGTATTACTGTTGGCAGTGTTTCTGACAGATTGATGAGGGAATGAGTTAAAGTGATAGTTCATGAAAATTCTGTCATGATTTACTGCCTCTTCAGTTGTTACAACCTTTTTTTTTCTCCGTTGAACACTGAAGAAGATATTTTGAAGAAAACTTAAAACCGGTAACCATTGACTTCCATTGTTATTTTTACTATGGAATTCACTAGTTACAGATTTCTAACATTCTTTAAAATATCTTCTTTTTGTTTTTAACAGAATAAAGTTACTGATAGTTTGACGAGGGAATAAGCGAGAGTTAATGCGGTGGTTTACCCAAAACTGAAAATTTACTGTCTCTTCAGTTGTTCCAAACATTATTTTTTCTGAAGAAGATATTTTGAAGTAAGCTGAAAATGGGTAACCATTGACTTTTTTTTTAAACTATGGATGTCAGTGGTTATCAATTTTGATCATTCTTTGAAATACCTTTTTGTTTTGAACAAAATAAAGTTACTGATGGATTGGTGAGGGAATAAGCGAGAGTTAAAGCGATGGTTCACACAAAACTGAAAATTCTGTCCTTATTTATTCTCTTCATTTGTTCCAAACTTTTTTTTCTTTGTTGAACACTAAAGAAGATATTTTGAAGAAAACTGAAAACGGGTAACCATTAACTTACATTGTTTTTTGTTTGTTTGTTTTTTTAACTATGGACGTCGGTTACCAATTTCGTACATTCTTCAAAATATCTTCTTTTTGTTTTTGACAGAAAAGTTACTTATAATTAATGAGGGTATAAGCAAGAGTTTAAGCGATATTTCACACAAAATTTAAAATTCTGTCATGATTTACTGCCTCTTCAGTTTTTTTTCTCTGTTGAACACTAAGGGAAGACATCTTGAAGAAAGCTTAAAACCGGTAACCATTGACTTCCATTGTTATTTTTAATATGCAATTCAATGGTTACCGATTTCTAACATTCTTCAAAATATCTTCTTTTTGTATTTATCAGAATAAAGAAACTCATCAAGGTTTAAATAGTAAGGAAATTAGTTTACTGTCTCTTTAAATCTTCTGACCATCTGCTTTTCATTAATGGAATCGTGACCGCCTCTGCCCCCACTCCTCATACACAACTAGATATAAATTCTGTTTTATGACTTGAATCGTATGCTTATAGCTTACACCATGTCCAAATTCAGCAATTCACCTGTCATATCTGCATTATAACTATGTAATAACTAAATAAAAATGAAACCAATACGAAAATATTAGTTATGTGTTTGCTGTGAAATCGCATTGGATTCGTATATATATATATATTCGGTGTCTTACTATTAACATTTATAATAAATTTTGCAACACATAAATTATATTATTAATATTATATATAAAATGTCACAGAAATCATAGCCATTTTAATATATTTTGTAACACATTAATTATATTTTTATTATTATATATTTTAATATACAATATGTCACATAAATCATAGCCGGTGTTATTATTAAATGCATGTATGCATGTAGTCTTTATTAAATTTAAATGTACTTCTATTTTAGGTGAATTTCCTGTGACACAAACCTCTCAAACAAGCTGTTTATCCTAGGGGCTAAGGGACATACCGAACTATTGTCTCATATTTTCTCATGTTTTTCATTATTGTTCTTCAGTGGGTTAATAATGTGATGATCTGCATATGGCATCTAGTTATTCTCCCTATTACCTGACTTGTATTGTAGTCTGTAATTTCAGTAAATTTTTCTTCATTGTTCATTTTGCCTGCCATGACTGCATATGTAGCCTATGTGATGTAATTTAGCATTGACAAAAATTAGAAACGCATTTTTTAATCTTAATTATGTGTGATTAGAAATAAAATGATTTTTAATATTCAGGCTATTATTATTATTATTATTACATTTAAAAATATATATAATTATGTTATATATTATATATATAAATAACGTTTGTAGTATATTCTGACACCTTTATTTTATTTTGAAATATATATATTGAGAAAATAACACAGACATCACTAAGTGCATTTAAATCACATTTTATTTAAAATATTTTTCTTTCATATATATATATATATATATATATATATATATATATATATATATATATATATATATATATATATATATGTATGTATGTATGTATGTATGTATGTATGTATATATATATATATATATATATATATATATATATATATATATATATATATATATATATATATATATATATATATATCAATAAGCCAAATCTGGAGCTAATCTATCAAAGTAAATTATGATAATAGCCCAAATTGATATGTTTGGGGAAAATATTAAATAAAAAATGTAAAAAGAACAAAAGAAACAAAAAATATTTAAAATTATAAAATATAAATATTATCTTTCTATTTCTAAAGAAGTTTGGGGAATCAAATATTATTTTAATAAATATATGTTTAATCTAATCTGGCTTGTTTAAATGGACTAGAATATATTATCTATATTCACAGAGTTATAAATAAAAACATTACGCACTGTATATACTTCATATATATATATATATATATATATATATATATATATATATATATATATATATATATATATATATATATATATATATATATATATATATATTAGGGTTGTAACGGTATGAATTTTTCACGGTATGATAATCGTCTAAAACAATACCACGGTTTGACGGTTTCGCGGTATACGGTATGTTACAAATGTTACAAAATAATAGAACAGTGAAGCAAATTTGACTTTTTCCAAATAGTATATTTTTAGTTACTATAAACAACACCACTTACAATGAACAAATAAAAATAAGAAAATAATAAATAATGTGTCAGTCCAAATAAACATGGTGCAAATCCTCAGTAAAAAATAGATATAAATATTTACTATACTATAAATAGTTAAATAACGAAACTAGATTCAAAATGGAACATCCTTAGGTTTTATGTGCCAGCATGGATATGGTTGTCTATGGATATGGATATGGTTGTCTGCAATGCAGACAAACAGCTGCACCTTCATTTGCGTCTTTTGAAAACAGCAAGAGCAGCAGTTCGTCTTTGCTGTGTCACTATTTTGTCATGTTTCTGTGCTGCTGTGCATGCAAAAGTACTTAGTATGAGAATTATTTCATGCAAAACAAAAAATTTTTGCGTTTTATTTAGCCGCGCATAAATGTATGCCTTTCTCTCATTCCGTGTTGTTTAAAAAGCTTGGTCCACAAACAAAAGCGAAACCTGGTTGTGATATAGCGAGTTTGAACCAATCTGGGCATGGAGGAGGGACAATGCATCAATGTATCATGTCTGATTTGTCCGGAGACACAGTGACGAGCGTTTCTTTGTCAAATCAGCGTTGTCAAATGTTGATGACGTAACCGCACTGATTCCGGAGCCTCTGAAAGTCCGCGAATGTTATGTGATACAGCACTGGAAAGATGAGATTCTCTTCTTTATGCCAATCTTTGAATTGTATGAATCGGATCAGCGGATCAAAAGTTATTAAACATTTAAGAGCTATACTTATTTTTAGCCGCGGGCGGCTGTCTCGGTCTTTAAGGGTTAAAACCGTTGATATGCAATTGTTCATGGTATGATAATCGTGCACGTTCAAATCGTGGTAAACCGTCATACCGGTATATTGTTACAACCCTAATATATATATATATATATATGTATTAATAGTAGATTTATTATATATGTATAATAATAATGTGTGTATATTAGGACTGCGCGATATTGAAAAACTATCATTGCGATTCTATTTTATTTTTCTACAATATATATTGCAATATTAATCAAATCATTTTACCAGATGAAATGAATACGTCTATTTGGAAGGAATTTGTAATTTTCTATAAATTGGGATGATTTTGTAAGGAAATGCATCTACGTAAACTATAATAAACCAATCACAAACATTGAGAAATGTAGTACAGCAACAACCCTGTGCAAACAAAATAGGAGTTTCTGGAAGTCTTGCAATATTTAGATGCACAAGTTTTTTAATCAAGTGCAAAATAACACCATATAGTATATATACATGCAATAGTATATAAATGTATATATATACAAGTTAAAAATATAGGCAAAACTTTAAAAGTGAATTAAATGATAAAAACACGCTAAAATATTAAATGTTTTAGTAACTTCATAGTTAATCATTGCAAAATCATGAGTGTTCAAAATCTGGTCAATAATAATACCAATTATACAACATACTATGATATGACGTAGTATTGCGGAAGTGCACATTAAGATATCGATGCTGAAACAATATATTGTGCAGCCCTAGTGTGTGTGTGTGTGTGTGTGTGTGTATGTGTGTGTATATATATATATATATATATATATATATATATATATATATATATCCAAAAACATGTCAAATTAGTATTTTATTGTAACATCTAAACACTTGTAACATCTAAAACTAGGAATATAGCAGTTGCTGAAACTGTTCTCTCATATTGTTTTTTCCTGCCTATATATTTCTTCATCAGTCAACAGTACAGACGATCATCTACAAACGCAAAGAGAGCCCAGTGACTTATTACAGGATGCCGAATGGTACTGGGCGGACATATCAAGGTGAGGAGAAACAAACAACAACACAGAATTATCCCCAGTATTTGTGTCTTTAATCATATTTGTTTGTGTATTTGTAAATTAAATTCCTCTCATTATCACACTACTTTCTGTGCTGTTAGGGAGGAGGTGAACGAAATACTCCACGGCATGCCTGACGGTGCTTTCCTGGTGCGAGACGCCTCCTGCAAGGTGCAGGGAGAATATACATTAACTGTTAGGAACAACGGCACGAACAAACTCATCCGGATCCTCCATCAGGAGGGCAAATTTGGATTCTCGGAGCCTCTGACGTTCAGCTCAGTGCCGGAGCTGATCTCTTTCTACAGGCACAGGAGTTTAGTCCACTACAACACTTCCCTAGATGTCACACTGGCTTATCCCGTGACCCACTGTAACACGGTTCGTACCTTTCCATTATGAACGTAATTGAGTATTGCGATAATGATATTCCTTCCGATATTTTGAGCGGTCTCTCCAGAATTTCAGTGCTCTCACACCTTTTTTCAAAGTCAAATTTAAGCCCTTTTCAAGCACATTCCAGCAGCATTTTTAGACTTTCATCTCTTTACAAGTGTAAATTTCATATTTACGCACATATTAGGGCTGCACGATACTGGATAAATACGCTAACGATATTTTTTACGATACAACATTTTCCTTAAATGCTATTTTTATTAGTCGTTTTCAAATAATTTACTCATGGTATTAAAATAAACAGGTAATAGATCATTTTCTGATCTAATTAGATCTAATTCAGACTAAAAAAACTGTGTCGATGTGCAAATATTTAACCTTTAAAAACACAACCCAGCATGTACACAACATTAATCTTTAGTTTACGTCAATTTTGCTGTCTAATACAGACGTCAGCTGCCGTTGATATTTGGTTGGTTTTAGGCTGTGGCATTAACTAACTAAAATCCAACATAACTTTAACCTCATGATATGACATCTATACAATGTCAAACTCTTAACATCAGTAGACGTTTATCTGTGGTTGATTTTATGTTGTGTAATTACCTAATTAAAATTCGTCGTCACTTTAATGTCATAATGTGTTGTTCATACAATGTTAAAGCATAACGTCAGTAGATGTTGATATTACGATTTGGCATTAACTAACCAAAATCCTACATCTTGACGTTGGATTCTGACCTCAAACTGACGTTGTATTCTGACGTCAACCCCATTTTCATATTCAACTAAATTTAAGTCCAACGTCAATTTTACATCTGTTCGACCACCTGGAACAATTTGAAATTATTTATTAAAAATTTAACTGAAAAATCAGATTTAACCTTGAATATATTTTATTTATATTTAATATACTTGTCTAAGTAAATTTTTATTGTAATACGAATTTGTTTTTAACATGTAATATTTTATGTATATCCATTTTGCCACGAAATAGCCATAAATTGCTGATGAATAATAAATTAATAATTACTAATTTACATCTATGTGGCGTCTGGTGCCTGCTAGGTATGAATGAGTGAAAACCCTAGCAGATATTCTGACTCTCATTGGCTGTTGTCAATTTCCTCTTGGCTTGACTTTTAGTGTTCATTTTCAGCTATGGGTTCACTGCTCCAGCCAATAGCAGAACAGTAACTACTTGGGAGGCGGGGATAAAGATAATTATGTTCCATCAAATTAGCCAAATCTAAATAAACAACCAAGGCATAAAATAAATCATTTATCACACATTTCGGCGATACTTATATTGCATGTACTATTATTGTGATGTATTGTGCAGCGCTTGTTGATAAAAAACCTTTTGTTAATGTAATTATCAACAATGTATTTTCAGGATCTACCTGTGAAGGAGGAGTTTCTGAGTGCAACCAGAGAAAAACTCCAAGAATGTTTTAGGGTTTTTCAGAAGACGGCAGAGTATGACCAGCTCTACGATACTTGCACTTCGTTATTAAAGGTGAGCGAAGGAAAATACTTTGTATAATAATGTTTGAAATTTATTCAGTGCTATATATATACAGTTGAAGTCAGAATTATTTGCCCCCCTTTGAATTTTTTTTTCTTTTTTTAAATATTTGCCTGTTTATGTTTTACAGCCAGGACAATTTCTCAGTATGTCTGATAATATTTTTTCTTCCGGAGAAAGTCTTATTTGTTGTATTTTGGCTAGAATAAAAGCAGTTTTTCATTTTTTTATGAATGATTTTAAAGTCAATTATTAGCCTCTTTAAGCCAAATTGTTTTTCGATACTCTACAGAACAAACCATCATTATACAATAACTTGCATAATTACCCTAACCTGCCTAGTTAAGCCTTTAAATGTCACTTTAAGCTGTATAGAAGTGTCTTGAAAAATATCTAGTCAAATATTATTTACTGTCATCATGACAAAGATAAAATAGATTAATTTTTAGAGATAAGATATAAAAACTATTATGTTAGGAAATGTGTTGTAAAAATCTGCTCTCAGTTAAACAGAAATTGGGAAAAAAATAAAGAGGGGGTTATTATAAAAATATGTGAGTGTATTATATATATATATATATATATATATATATATATATATATATATATATATATATATATATATATATATATATATAATATATGTGTGTGTGTGTGTGTGTGTGTGTGTGTGTGTGTGTGTGTGTGTGTATATATATATATATATATATATATATATATATATGTGTGTGTGTGTGTGTATATATATATATATATATATATATATGTATATATATATATATATGTATATTTATATGTGTGTGTATATATATATATATATATATATATATATATATATACACATAGCAAAAAAAACTATACAAAATAGTTTTGTTAGATATTTACATGTATGTGTAATTTGTATCATATACGTATATATTTTATATCTAAATATAGATAAACATTTTCTCAAATATATGCATGCATGTGCGTATTTAGATTTATACAACAGTTCTGTATGGTTCTCGAATTGATTGACTGATAGACATGCGATATTCTGCAATATCAGCACTCATACAGCCTCTTCACCCGTGTGTATTACTCTGCCCACATAGAGTGACAGCAGATCAACAAACTCACTACAGTTTTGACAAATATTGACAAATATTGTTGGACGACATCATGTACTTTTTAGGCTTTTTAGTCGAATGTAGTTGTTTAGATTGCAACTATGCAGTTTAACTTAAAGAATAGTGCCTATTTTAAATATTTATAATTTCTGGAATTCAGCGCGTTGGCGACCATTAGCCTGTCATTGAGCAGAGCAAAAAAGGTTGACGTTGCGCCACAAGATTTACTATTCATTAATTTTCCTTTGGCTTAGTCCCTTATTTATCAGGGGTTGCCACAGCGGAATGAACCGCCAACTATTACAGCATATGTTTTACGCAGCGACTGCCCTTCCAGCCGCAACCCAGTTCTAGGAAACACCCACATACACTTGCATTCACACACACTCATACTGTACAATTACGCCAATTTAGTTCACCCATTTCACCTATAGCCCATGTGTTTGGACTGTCGGGGAAACCAGAGCATCAGGGGAAACCCACGCCAACACGTGAAGAGCATACAAACTCCACACAGAAATGCCAACTGGCCCAGCTAACCGCTAAGCCACCTTGCCGCCCTCCTCTAAAAGATTAAATAATAATGATTCACTCTTGTTTAAAGTGCCCATGATGACTATATCATGGATGTTCGTTATCACAACACGTTGTGTTATTGAACATCATCACGTCTAATAAAATCTAACACATCGATTTTTCTTAAATTTTTACAGGAAATTCAAAGGAGGAAAGCTTTCGAGGACATCAGTATGACCGAGATCTCAAAACCACAGTGTTATTCTCAAGAGAATTTCCAAAACACGCTCCAGAAAGAGTAAGTGTCCATATATACCTTTAAAAGTATAATAGTAATAGTATTAAAAAAGTTAATAGTATTAAAAGAGCCCTAGGATTGCTTTTAAGAATCAAGTTCAGTAATAAAATTGCTGCAAAAATCAGCACTGTAGGGTTGCACAGTTTACCAGTACTATGGTAGTATCGCAATACTTTGGCTCCAAGATACTGGCGATGCAACTGTAGTATCTAAAGTAGATAATTGTAGTATCGTCTACAATAGGTGATGTTGCATGTGGAAAAGTCACTAAAGTGCTCACACGTTTGTGCAACAATAAACCATTTTATCTGAATAGTCTGTGGAGCCCTTCAAGGTTGCAAAACTGTAGAATTCACGCCTTGTATGGTAGCCTATTGCAGGGATTCCCAAACTTTTTTATTGCGGGACCCACCTAGGAAAGTAATTCAATCTCAAGACCCACCATTATATTTTTATATGGAAAAATGGGTAAAAAATGTCTCCATTCAAAGCAGTCAATAATATATGGTGTGTGGCTTTTTGGATTTTGCAGTTTGAAATGCACAAAATGTGGCTCAAAATGCATTTTGTGGGATGCTGGCTGTAACTGTGATCATTATTTTTGTTGAAAAAGATACTCTTCTTTTTTCCAGAAGAGAATATGATCAACCTTTGATCAAGACCCTTGATTATGATCAAGCCCCGTCACATCGCAGTAAATTCCACTGCTAGTGTAAAGTCATAAGAAACTAAACAGCTTTTTTCGACTACTACAAGCTGGGAAAACGTCAGATAAATATGCCAATGCAATTAACATTATTGCTGAATTAATCTAATATTTACACATTTGCTTGAGGAAGAATGATGGGGTAGTTACATTACTATTACTGTTTTCCATAACATCTATGCCCTTCCATAACATTAGCTGACGTCATAACTAACAGATAGCACTATAGCTATTTATTGATTAGCAATCTGTCGCCATTGGGATGTAAAAAATATGGGACAACAAATAGCTTCAAATGATAGAATGCATAGCAAACATTAGAAAATATTGACATTAAAATAAAAGGTTTAGCCTATTAAAATCAATGACCTATTCAGAAATTAAATAAAGCTATAAAATCTACTTCACTTTTAATCGTATTTGCATATTGTATAACTTTAACTTTTAACTATAGTAACTTTAATATTGTATATGTCGAGCGGAAAAAAAGAAAAAGGCAGCTGTGAAACATAACAAGCTTTGTCTTTTTGTAGGAAACACACTTTAGATCTTTTTAGGGTCAGAGGTTTTTGAGTTATTGCCGTCTATCGTACTGGTTTTGATTCACCGCAATGTAAATAGCTGCAGCTATGTGACGTTGCGCGACCCACCTTTGTTCACTGTGCGAGCCACTAGTGGGTCGCGACCCACAGTTTGAAAACCCCTGCTTCAGTTCGAACGCACATCTGGATCAGTTCATTTCTGTTCCTGTTAATATGATTTAGTAGCTACAACAGCAGCGACAGTCTCTTTAGAAGAACACGACTCACAAAGTGACATTTTCAATGATTTTGGATTGTTACCTGATAAGACTGAAAGAAAAAAATTGATGGAAAACCCAAAATAACTACAGAAAAACTATTTTTGACCACTTCATATAGCCTAATTCTGTTGGCAAAAACGCTCTTTAGTAACAAATTTCATTCTGAATAATTTGTATCTTTATTTTAATGTATTTTTGTTGGTCAGTTATATACAAAATAAACAACAAGAGTGAATAAAGTGTAGGTGAAGTGAGCTGCAAATATACTTTTTGGCCTTAAGGGAATTATGAATTACATTCAAGTAGGCCTATTATAACATGAAATATAGTATTTCTGACAATTTCCTTTTATAATTGGAGTTATGAATTACAGTATCGCAATACTACTTGGTAATGTGATATGGTATCGTAAGATTAAATAGTGGTATCACGACAACCCTTCTATGATCTAATCTGAATTGATGCTGAAATGCCGATAGTTGGCATAGATAGTTTGTAAAGGATAGTTCGCCTAAAAATTAACATTTATTCACAATTTACTTACCCTAAAAGTGGTTTTAAACCTTTGTGAGTTTCTTTTTTTCTGTTGAACACTAAAGAAGATATTTTGAAGAATGTTGGAAACCGGCAACCATTGACTTTCCCAATAAAAAATACAAATACAGTGGAAGTCAATGGTTACTGTTTTTTATTTATCTATTTTTTTTAGAATATCTGAAAAACTAAAGCGTGAGTGCTGGTGATGCAATCACCAATATCTATCAAACTGCATCACCTGACCCTCTGTCAAAAGTGACTAGACTACAATTCATGCCGATATCTGTTTGACCAGCCTATAGATTAAATGTTCAATTTCTTACACCTAGCGATCTTTTGGCTTCACAAGACCTCAGTGTGTCATCAGGAGGCATGGCTATTGATTTGGACTTTTTTGTATGTGTTTATTTTTATTTTATGTTTATTTTATCTAAAAACCTGTCACCATCCACTGCCATTATATAAATCGCCAAACAGCACGGATTCAGCTCAAAATCTTCTTTAAAAGGGACCTATTATGCAAAAATCATTTTAAAAATGGGTTTAATCACAGTTGTGGGGCAGCAGGGTGTGAATATAACCAGCTTCTAATAGTAAAAATTAATTAATTTATGTGTTAATAATCACACTTGATAAAGACAGTCTGTAGAAACACTTTGAATGACATTCGTCCTTGGGGCAAAGCCCCGCCCACTAGTGACCATCTCTCCCTCATTAGCATAGGACGTTAGTCTTGTTTTTGAATCTGCCACTATGCTGAAACACAGGCATTTATAGCTCCGCCCTCTTCTGAAAAAGAGCACAATCTCATTTGAATTTAAAGCGACAGTCACCAAAACACCACAATTAGGGTCAAAGCATAAACGAGGCAGTTTCAACGAGTTACAAGACATCATTTGTGTGGTATTTTGAGTTGAAACTTTACACACACACACACACTCTAGAGACATTAGAGACTTATTTTACACCCCTTTAAATATTTTACTGAAGTAAATATTGAGTAGTAAGTAGAAAGTAATTAAATGAACAGGAAATTCTCCTTTTTGGGTGAACTATCCCTTTAAGTGTGTCTTCAACCCATTTCAAAACAAAACCTGATAATATTAATAACCGTGATATGAAGTATAAAAACTGAATGGCAGTCAATGAAGAAGGCTGTGTTTTGCCCTGCAGGTGGGCGTTCATTAGTGTTTGACGTCACATGAACACTCTGAAGTGTGTGTCGCTGAGATGTTGCTAAGCGGCTCTCAGTGGCTGCTCATTCCTGTGCAGTTGATGTGCAGAAATCCTGGGCGGTTGCTGGTTGGCTGTTTATCGGCCAATCAGAAGAGCTCATAGCCGAGTCGCCATGAAATTCGCTTGGGTGCCTCCTGTTATGCGATCCTGAGGGATGTTTTTGGGGTAATTTACTGTCTGTTAGGTCATAGGGCTGAGAAAAGCAACAGCATTTACGTGATGGAGAAAATATGGAGATGATCCAGTCATTAAAACAATGACATTTATAGGATTTGTAGCAGAAGGTCATTGAATTTGGCTAATTTTGAAGAACGTATCAAATGTTTGGATGTACACTTGAACTATGATATTGATTATTGTCTATGGATATTACATTTCAAGAAAACTAGTAGAAATGTTAAGTCTGCATGAATTTGTGCTGCAGTTTCATCTGATGTCTGGTAAAGTTTTATGCTTACAATTTGTTTTGATTAAATGTATGTTTAGTCACTAAATAAATAAATAAATAAATCAAACAGTAAAAAATGTAAATTTCACAAAAGAAGATATTTTGAAGAATGTTGGATTCCATTGTATTTGTATCAGTTTCTGACATTCTTTAAAGTATCTTCAAAAGTTAAAAGCAACTTATAAAACAATTTGGTAAATGGTATCTTTGCGTGAAGGGTAAGTTAGATTTTGCTTGCTTTAAAATTAGCATAGAAGTTTTGTGGGTGTGTTATTTTGATTTATTGATTGTTTTATTTATTTCCAATAATTTCCTCCCTCTTTTTTATTGAGATTTTGATCAGAGATGCTATTAAAAAGTCTTCATTTAAAGGGATAGTTCACCCAAAAATTAAATTATTTTCATCATTTACTCACATTCCACCTTTGAGTTTTTTTAATTCTCTTAAACACAAAAGAAGATATTTTGAAGAATGTTGGAAACCGGTAACTATTGACTTCCAATGTACGATTTTTTATTATTTTTTTTATTAAATGTATGTTCGGTCACTAAATAAATTAATGAATTAATTATTTTACAAAAGAATATACTTTGAAGAATGTTGAAAACCGGTAACCATTGAATTCCATTGTATTTGTTTTTTCCTACTACCAGTTTACAATGTTCTTTAAAGTATCTTCAAAAGTTAAAAAAAGCTATTACTAAATCAAAAAAAAAAAAAAAAAAATAGGTAAATAGTATCTTTGCGTGAAAGGTAGGTTAGATTTTGCTTGCTTTATAATTAGGATAGAAGTTTTGTGGGTGTGTTATTTTGATGTATTGATTTTTTTATTTATTGCTAATAATTTTCCCCCTCTTTTTTTTGAGATTTTGATCAGAGATGCTATTAAAAAGTCTTCATTTAAAGGGATAGTTCACCCAAAAATGAAATTATTTTCATCATTTACTCACATTCCACCTTTGAGTTTTTTTAATTCTCTTAAACACAAAAGAAGATATTTTGAAGAATGTTGAAAACCTGTAACTACTGACTTTCGTTGTACAATTTGTTTTGATTAAATGTATGTTCGGCCACTAAATAAATGAATAAATTAATTATTTTACAAAAGAATATACTTTGAAGAATTTTGGAAACTGGTAACCATTGACTTCAATTTTACAATTTGTTTTGATTAAATGCATGTTTACTCACAAAATAAACTAATGAATGAATTAAACAGTATAAGGATGTCAATGGAAAATGGGAAAAACTGTAAGCGGAAAAATCATAACTTGATTTCAGAGATTATTATTTTTGATTAAATGTATTTTTCTGTCCCCCAAAAATTAAATATAAAATAAATAAACAGAGATAAGGATATCTGGAGAGAGCATAAACTGATTAATTTGTTTAATGTTGGTGATTACAGCTAACAATTAATTTAACATTTAAATGGAATTTGGTTAAATTCACAAGAAATGGTTAGGTTTAATTAAATGTATTTTTCTGTCCCCCAAAAAGTAATAAAAATGTAAATAAATAAACAGACTTGAGGATTTTAGGAGGAAATATAGCAAAATGATGAGTTTATTTAATGTTAGTGATTACAGCTTTATTTTACATTTAAAATTGAATAAAGTAAAAATTTAAATGAGAAAAAAAAACATGAAGTGGAAAAATCAAAACTTGACCCCAGAAATGTTTAGTTTTGATTAAATGTATTTTTCTGTCCCCCCAAAAATTATTTATAAAACAATCTAATATAAGAATATTCAGAAAAACATAGCAAAATTATTAATTTAAGACAGAATTTAGTTAAAATTACTCAGAAATAATTGGTTTTGATTAAATGTAGTTTTCTGTCGCCCAAAAATTAATTAATAAAAAATAAATACATAACAAACTCAAAAGATTTCTGGAGAAAACATGGCAAAATCTTAAATTAATCATTTGTTTTGTGTTAGTAATTGCAGCTAATATTAATATTTATTTTAACATTTAAAATGGAATTTCGTTCAAAGTACCCAGAAATTATTTATTTTGATTAAATGTATTTTTCCATCTTCAAAAAATTTAATAAAAAATGAATAAATAAACAAACAAAGACATCTAGAGAAAACAGAGCAGAAAGGTTCATTTGTTTAATGTTGGTGATTACAGCTAAAATTGAATTTTACATTTAAAATGTAATCTAGTAAAAAATATACTCATAATAATCATTTCTGAAGTCAAGTTATATGTATTTTTATGTCTCCCCCAAAAAGATTTATTACTTAAAAATAATAGTAATTAAACACAGGGAAAACCAAGCAAAATGGTTCATTTATTTTAATTTATTTGATTTAATTTTTATAATTTTTTAATTAATGGAATATACTAAAACTAAAGTGGAAAAATCATTACCTGGCTCCAGAAATGATTAATGTTTATATTTAATTTCTATTCATCACCACTATTATTTTCTACACCATCACCACTCATTGTTTTACTGATTTCAGTCCTTTAGTATAACAGCACCTTAAAGGCGTTTAATTTCCCGCAATAATTAACAAAGTCAAGCGCAGGTCTGGCTGATGCAATGGGTCTGTAAGGTCTGCGAGAGACAAACTGTCCTTTAGGCGAACAATACAGCCGCTCTTAAAGCTACAGACACCACATTTTCAAAGCTTTTAATAAGTGATTATTTTCCTCAGGTCTGGGTGTGAGGAGCTGCTGAGGGAGGAGAGCTGGTTTGTGGGAGATCTGGCTCGCGGTCCAGCAGAGGAGCTTCTTCTTGGGAAACCAAACGGAGCTTTTCTCATCCGCAACAGCAGCAGCAAGGATTGCTACGCCTGCTCTGTCGTGTAAGTTTGCAATCTTGTTTCATTCCAGTTTGTTTGGTTTGTTTGTTTGTTTGTTTGTTTGTTTATCAAACCCAAACATGAAAATTTCATACAAAAAGAAGATATTTTGAAGAATGTTGAAAACCGGTAACCATTGATTTGCATTGTATTTGTTGTTCCTACTACTAGTGTCCGACATTTTTCCAAGTATCTTCAAAGGTTAAAAGCAACTTAAAAAATTGGAAAATGGTATTTTGCTTGCATTATAATTAGGGTAGAAATTTAACATGTGGGTGTATTATTTTGATTTAATGATTTATTGATTTATTTTTTATATATATTTTTTTATTTTTACCTAGATTTTGATCAGAGATACTATTAAAGAATCTTAATTTAAAGAGATAGTTCACATAAAACAGAAAATTCAGTTTTTTAGTTTTCTTGTACACAAAAGAAGATATTTTGAAGAATGTTGGAAACCGGTAACCATTGACTTCCATTGAATGATTTTTTTGTCCTACTACCAGTTTCCGACATTCTTCAAAATATCTTCCATTTGGTGTTCAACAGTTAAAAGGAACTTAACTTTAATAGTATCTGAGATACTGTTAAAATGTCATGAATAAAAGGGATGATTTACTTAAAAATTTGTTCTGCCATAATTGTGTCTTAATTTAAAGATACAGGTCTCCCAAAAATGAAGATTCTGTCATCATTTACTCATCCTCCACTTGTTTCAAACCAGTTTGAGTTTTTTTTAGTTCTTCTAAACACAAAATAAGATATTTTGAAGAATGTTGGAAATCGGTAACCATTGACTTCCATAGTATTTGTTTTGTCCACTTCCAGTTTCCAACATTCTCCAAAATATATTCCATTTTTTGTTTAACGTGTAAAAGAAACAACAAATACTGTGAAAAAAATAAATACAGGCGATGTCAATGGTGGACAACGCAGTGGTGCAGTGGGTAGAGTTGTCACCTCACAGCAAGAAAGTCACTGGTTCAAGCCTCGGCTGGGTTAGTTGGCGTTTCTGTGTGGAGTTTGGATGTTCTCCCTGCGTTCTTGTGGGCTTCCTCCGGGTGCTTCAGTTTCCAAATTTCTATCCTAATAATATTGTGAACAAATGTAACCTGTCCTTCATGCAAACATGAAAAATATCTGTTAAACACAAATTGGAAGATATTTTAAAGGATGTTGGAAACAGGGAGTAGGAAAAAAAATACAGTGGAAGTCAATGGTTACCGGTTTCCAACATTCTTCAAATTATCTTCTTTTGTGTTCAAGAGAACTAAAAAACCTTAAACTGGTATGAAACAACTGGGGGATGAGTAAATAATGCTAGGATTTACATTTTTGGGTGAACCATCGCTTTAAATTAAGTCTTTAAGAGTATCTTTGATCAAAATTGCAATAATAAAAACAAACACAAAAACTCTTAAGAAGGAATTTTTTTCCAGTGTAAAAAGATTTTTGGTTCCTTTTAGCTGTTGAACACAAAATGGAAGATATTTTGAGGAATGTTGGAAACTGGGAGTAGGAAAAACAAATATAGTGAAAGTCAATGGTTACCAGTTTCCAACATTCTTTAAATTATCTTCGTTTGTGTTTAAGAGAACTAAAAAATCCTCAAACAAGTGGAGGATGAATGAACCGTGACAGAATATATTAAAGAATGTTAGAAACTGGGAGTAGGAAAAACAAATACAGTGGAAGTCAATGGTTACCGGTTTCCAACATTCGACAAAATATCTTCTTTTATGTTTAAGAGAACTAAAAAAACTCACAATTTACACACAAAAACAATTTACCAATTTTTTTTATAAGTTACTTTTAGCCTTCGAAGATACTTTGAAGAATGTTGGAAACTGGGAAAAGAAAAACCAAATACAGTGAAAGTCAATGGTTACCGGTTTCCAACATTCTTCAAAATATATTCTTTTGTTTTTAAGAGAACTAAAAAATCCTCAAACAAGTGGAGGATGAGTAAACGGTGACAGAATTTACATTTTTACATGAACCATCCCTTTAAATTAAGATTTTTAAAAATAGCTCTGATCAAAATCTCAATAGAAAGACAAAAAATTAGCAATAAATAAAAACAATCTATAAATCAAAATAATAAAGATACAAATTAAATAATATTGTAAACAAATGTAACCTGTCCTTCATGCAAACATTAAAACTATTGTTAAACACAAAATGAAGGATATTTTGAAGAATGTTAGAAACTGGGAGTAGGAAAAACAAATACAGTGGAAGTCAATGGTTACCGGTTTCCAACATTCGTCAAAATATCTTCTTTTATGTTTAAGAGAACTAAAAAAAACTCACCTTTTACGCACAAAATTTTTTTTATAAGTTACTTTTAGCCTTTGAAGATACTTTAAAGAATGTTGGAAACTGGGAACAGAAAAAAAAATATACAGTGAAAGTCAATGGTTACCGGTTTCTAACATTCTTCTAAATATCTTCCTTTGACATTAAGAGAACTAAAAAAGCCTCAAACTGGTTCGAAACAGGTGGAAGATGAGAAATAATGTCAGGACTTTTATTTTTACATGATTTATCCTTTGAAATAACCCCTCTCTCCCACAAAACTCCTTCATAAAGCCACAAAAACCAGCCTCTAAATCAATCTCTCTCTCTCTTTACATCCTCAGGGTCAACAGTCAGGTCCGGCACTGCGTTATCCGCCACACAGAGCGCGGCTACGGCTTCGTCGAACCCTTCGACCTCCACAAATCTCTGAAGGATCTTGTTCTGCATTACAGCCAGACGTCATTAGCACAGCACAACCAGGCTCTGGACGTCCGGCTAGCCTATCCAGTCCACATGTCCAGCGTTCCCACCGTCTGAAAGATTGAAGTGCACTAAGACTGATTTCGCCATTGCGTCTCTTCATTTTACCACATGAACAATGAGCGCAGGGCGTAACATAAAGGCAGTTTGTATGTATCTTGCACTTTCCAAAGCATTCCTCGTTGGTCATAATACTGCAGTACTTGAACAAGTGTTGATCGAGCCCTTTGTAGACACGTTTACACATGCTCACCCAAATAAACAGCCGAGTTTTTGTAACACAATCGCGCTCTTTTTAATAGCAACTATATATAGTGCCAGGATGAATGCGTCTCGTTACACTATATTAATGTTTTGTGTTGTTTTTTTTAAGTGTATTTTGTGAATGTAACGCAGCAAGGTGCTTTTATCGCTCACTTTAACTCTGAAATTGCGATATATATATGTATTTTTTTTTGCGCGTCCATGCGAGGAAGGGTTTTTTGACGCATGGTTTTATATATATATGTTGGTTCCAGAGAAATCCAAAACTGCTTTTTAGTTTTGTAAAAGCTGAGTTGCCGATTAAAGATGGTAAAAACTCTATATTTTGCGCCTGTTAAAGAGTCTACAGGAAATACATGTGTTGATTTAGGTTTGCGGCATATTTGTAATGTTTACCTTTTTTTTTTACTATGCTTTTTTATTATTATTTTTTTTTAGGAAAGCCAGGACTGTGTTGTCGTCTTTCAGGCTGAATAGTCCAGACACGTCATAGTTTTATATAATAAATGAGTTTGTTTGTGGTAAATAACACAATGCCAAAAAAACATATTATTTTTTATTATGATTATTATTTGTGATTTTGTCAGCAGCAGAACATACAGAGGGAACATTCACCCTCATTGCAGAGCTTATTTTTGTTATGCATGCTTCTTAAAAAAATAAATAAATGACCGAGAGTAAATTCAGAGCTCATGTCTGATTCTTTATATTTAAACGCATTTCTTTTAAAAGTGCTGCGATTTGTACGTATTGTGAAAAATGCCTGTTTTAAGGTTTAAGTTAAAACTGAGTCTTCAGTACATGATTCGTTGATTCAAATGATTCAGTTAGATTGAGTTTCCAGCTAAAAGCTCACTTTTGCAAATGATTCATTCTGAGCGAGTCTTCTGTACATGATTCACTGATTGAAATGATTCATTCTGAGTGAGTCTGCTGTACATGATTCACTGATAGAAATGATCCATTCTGAGTGAGTCTTCTGTACATGATTCACTGATAGAAATGATCCATTCTGAGTGAGTCTCCAGTAAATGATTCACTGATAGAAATGATCCATTCTTAGTGAGTCTCCAGTAAATGATTCACTGATTGAAATGATTCATTCTGAGTGAATCGTCTGTACATGATTCACTGATTGAAATGATTCATTCTGAGCGAGTTTTCTGTACATGATTCACTGATTGAAATGATTCATTCTGAGTGAGTCTCCAGTAAATGATTCACTGATAGAAATGATCCATTCTGAGTGAGTCTCCAGTAAATGATTCACTGCACTGATAGAAATGATCCATTCTGAGTTGCGATATATATATATATATACATATGTATTTTTTGCGCGTCCATGCGAGGAAGGGTTTTTTGACGCATGGTTTTATATATATATGTTGGTTCCAGAGAAATCCAAAACTGCTTTTTAGTTTTGTAAAAGCTGAGTTGCCGATTAAAGATGGTAAAAACTCTATATTTTGCGCCTGTTAAAGAGTCTACAGGAAATACATGTGTTGATTTAGGTTTGCGGCATATTTGTAATGTTTACCTTTTTTTACTATGCTTTTTTATTATTGTTTTTTTTTTAGGAAAGCCAGGACTGTGTTGTCGTCTTTCAGGCTGAATAGTCCAGACACGTCATAGTTTTATATAATAAATGAGTTTGTTTGTGGTAAATAACACAATGCCAAAAAAACATATTATTTTTTATTATGATTATTATTTGTGATTTGTCAGCAGCAGAACATACAGAGGGAACATTCACCCTCATTGCAGAGCTTATTTTTGTTATGCATGCTTCTTAAAAAAATAAATAAATGACCGAGAGTAAATTCAAAGCTCATGTCTGATTCTTTATATTTAAACTCATTTCTTTTAAACGTGCTGCGATTGTACGTATTGTGAAAAATGCCTGTTTTAAGGTTTAAGTTAAGAATGAGTCTTCAGTACATGATTCGTTGATTCAAATGATTCAGTTAGATTGAGTTTTCAGTTAAAAGCTCACTTTTGCAAATGATTCATTCTGAGCGAGTCTTCTGTACATGATTCACTGATTGAAATGATCCATTCTGAGTGAGTCTTCTGTAAATGATTCACTGATAGAAATGATCCATTCTGAGTGAGTCTTCTGTACATGATTCACTGAAAGAAATGATCCATTCTGAGTGAGTCTCCAGTAAATGATTCACTGATAGAAATGATCCATTCTGAGTGAGTCTTCAGTAAATGATTCACTGCACTGATAGAAATGATCCATTCTGAGTGAGTCTCCAGTAAATGATTCACTGATTGAAATGATTCATTCTGAGTGAGTCTTCTGTACATGATTCACTGATTGAAATGATTCATTCTGAGTGAGTCTCCAGTAAATGATTCACTGATAGAAATGATCCATTCTGAGTGAGTCTTCAGTAAATGATTCACTGCACTGATAGAAATGATCCATTCTGAGTGAGTCTCCAGTAAATGATTCACTGATTGAAATGATTCATTCTGAGTGAGTCTTCTGTACATGATTCACTGATTGAAATGATTCATTCTGAGTGAGTCTCCAGTAAATGATTCACTGATAGAAATGATCCATTCTTTATATTTAAACACATTTATTAGACATGTGCAACTATCTGACAAAAGTCCTGTCGTCGATTCCAGTTGTAAGAGCAACAAACAATAACTTCTAGTTGATCATTTGGAAAAGATGAACTGTTGATCTGCATCCCAATCATCACAAATACTGCTGAAGACCTACTGGAACCCGCATGGAGCCAAGTTATAAATATGGATATAATAAATAATACTGCTAATAATAATAACATTATACAAAAGCAAATTAAATGAACTTAAAAAAGTCTCTTGAGATGAAGAAAGTAAGGCAGTGGTTTTTAAATCGTCATGTAGGCTAAAAATTTATATGTTTTGTAATATTTTAATCCTTTATATTTATATCCTGTATATATCCTTATTATATATATCCTTAATATATTATATTTTTTTCATATGTAAAGATATTTGCGTATTGCATCTTGTGTGTAGTGTGTAAGCCAGGCGCACTTTGCGCCAGACAATAGACCGACTTTGTTCTGGTCTAAAGATCAGACTATTTACAGTTTCTCAAAATAGCAACGCGCCAAAACACGTCTGCATTTTTAGACCAGAACGTCTATGGGCGCACATGCATTTGCTATTTAAACAGCCTTGCGCAACGCCTCAAAATGACCCTTGCGCCAAGCTGAAAGTAGCAAAAGACTATTGCGCCGCGCCTTGTGCCACATTGCGCCGGGTGTATGATAGGGCCCATAGACTTTATACTTGTACTAGAGTAATATGTTATATTAGTCTCTGTCAAGTGTGCCGCAAGCCTACGTTTGAGTGAAGGTTTCGGCCGTTAGATCGCCCCCTGGGGGCTGGCTGCAGTACAAGTCATAAAGCCCGCCTCCTCCGTGTTAATGAAGGAGACTTGAGCCCAAATAAAAAAAAATATTACACTTGCAATAAAATGTCCCGAAAGATAGTTCTGGTCGATTAAGGCAGTGGTTATTGTGCTGAAATAGGTGCAGATCTTCATTTTTGTAAACAGTTTGTTTTTAGCAGTAATTTAATGCTGGGCGTGTCATCGTGATTGACAGCTGTGATTGACAGTTTCTCAAAGCGCGGCGTCTGAGCTTCGGCAGGAGACTGAAGTAGACTGAAATGTTATTATTCGATTTCTGTGTTATTTTACCATGACAAAATGAGTTCAGCAGTAAACTGTAGTTTCTGACATACATGATCCTGGTGGAACACTGTTTATTCGCTAAGTTCAGGGCTTTTTTCGGGCTTTATTAGTTTGCTGATACACGCCTAGCCACCCAGATAGCAAAACACAGTTCCGGCTAGATTCTCGCCTGCCGGAGACTTATCTCTTAGAGCTCAGACTGACTAATGTTACCTCTGCTGGACCTACTCCGGATGCCTGGACTCACTACCCAATTCCAGCCCGAGTCAATCGAGCCAGATGCGGCGGCCGAGCGAGCAGGCGCTGACGCATGCGAGCCGGAATCAGCCCGCGACGCCGCGAGTAAGTTATGCGCTGCGGCCTGGAGCTGGCGCGATTGAATATATAAAACCCTCATATTTGTTAACGTTATAACATCCATTTGTGTTGATATGACAGCAAACGCATGCTGAGAAGTTCGGGGGGCGTGGTTGATTTTACATAAATCGTTTGATTGGAAGCTCGACTCTGCTCATTTTCGCGGCTCCGCCTCTGGCTCCATCAGACAGTCCTTCTGCGCATGTCTGGCTCCAATTTCAGCAGTCTTTTGCGACAGTTTGTGCCCGTCAAGCAGGCGTTTTGCCCTCAAGGCGTTCAATGGGAAAAAGGGCTGTCGCATCGTCCATATTTTTTACAGTCATTGGTCTCTGTATGTTTCACCAGTAGAAAAACTGAAAAAGCTCAAACGCTTTTGAAACGGTGAGTAAATGATGACAGTATTTTCATGTTTGGGGGGTGAACTATGCCTTTAAGTAAAATTAAAATCAAATACTTTTGTACTTGAGTAATATTGAAAAGTCTGACTTTATATGTGTAGTGTAATAATTTATTACTATCTCTATCTTTTACAACAAAAACAAAAAAACAAAACATAAACCCAAACAGGTTTGAAACAAGTCAATAGTGAGTAAATAGTGCGTTATTTCAATTTTTGGGTGAACTATCCCTTTAAAGTTGCACTGTTCAATGGTGCACAGCTCCCTGAGGTTGACCCAGTGCTAAAAGGCTGACACTGAAAGGGTTTACAGTTGCCCTGCTATAACAATTCATCAGAACAGAATGTCCAGAATTGACATCTGCACATATGGACTATAATAAGCCATTAGGTGATGAGGACATTGTTGGAGCAGGTTGCACATATGAGGAGTGTGTGTAGGATTAGCCCTCGCTCTCTGTGTCAGCAGTGTGTGTACGGGCTTAAAGGCTTTGTGAATGTGAGCATGCCGGTGTGTGAAGTTACATCATGCAAGGACAGCTTGTACAAAAAAACAAAACAAAAAACAAGTGTGCAGGTACTCGGGAGTAACACCCTGATTACTGCATTCAGCTCAAGGTTATTGTACAGCGCTTTTCTTATTATTGCCTTACACTCGAAATCAGAAAAGTTCAGGTTATTTACCATGTTATTGGCTAATAATACACTGTTTGATGTGTTCCTCATGGTTTTTATTGTTTTAAACACACATATATTTTAATTTTGGCTCTTGCAACACATTTCAAGAAAGGTTGTAGCAGTAAAGCAATTACCGTTTTGCAATGTTGCCATTCCTTTATAGCATTTAAAAGACGTTTAGATACTGAAGTGTGAAGTGTTTCTGGTGTCATTTTGTCCTATTCTTCCTGCAGACAAGTCTTAAGGTGGCCGACAGTACCGGGTCTTCATTGTTGCATTTTGTGCTTCAAAATGCGCCACACATTCTCTATTGGAGACGGGTCGGGACTGCAGGCAGGCCAGTCCAGTATCCTCTTCCTCAGCAGCCAGTGTTTGTTCCTCAGCATTGTCTTGTATCTATTGGCATTCCTGGATCAGAAGGCAGCATACTGTGCTCCAAAATCTTCATGCACTTTTCAGCATTAATGATGCATCACAGAAGTGCAGGTTACTTTTGCCAAGGGCACCGACACAACCCCATACTAAAACAGACCCTGGCTTTTGGACTTGTTGCTGGTAACAGTCTGATCCTGACAACATACGCAGGCATATAAGCTGTTTCGTGTCAGTTAAATCAGTTGAGTGTTGAAATTCAAAATTTTATCCCAACTGGTGGTGTTCCCTGCTGAAAAATCCAGCCTAGGATGGTTGGCGGGTTTTAGCTGGTCGACCAGCCTGGTTTTAGAGGGGTTTTGGCCATTTCCAGCCTGGTTTAACTAGTCAGGTCAGCTTAAACCAGCTGGACCAGCCTAGCCAGGCTGGGAGCCCAGCCAAAACCAGGATGGTCAAGCTGGTTTTAGCTGGTCACTTTCCAGCCTGACCAGCTAAGACCATGCTGGAAATGGCTGGAAACCAGCCTGGAAGTGACCAAAACCCCTCTAAAACCAGGCTGGTCGACCAGCTAAAACCATCCTAGGCTGGTTTAAGCTGGATTTTTAGCAGGGTTATTAAATAAATAACCAAATGAAGGTTAAAAATAACCCAACAAAGCATTGGGTTAAATAAATAACTCAACATTTTTTATAGTGCTAGAGCCCAAAACCAAACTTTGTATTTATATTGTTTATTTAGTGGCGAAAATTAACTTTCATACCACAGACATCCAGTAGGAAAGGTTATGGAAGTCAATGGATTCTATCCATATACATATCGCCTACCCTGTTGTTGTCCATTGGAAGGAATGCGTCAATGGAGCCGCCATTTTAGTACAGGGTAGCGATCCTTTGAAATTAATGCGAGACCAAGCTGCAGTGGAGGACTGGCCATCCAGAGCCGGAGGTCAGTGTTACTAGCCGACAAGTTTCTGGAAGTGCAGCATCTCGTTGTCATGTTTATTTTGCATTGTTTGCTGATTTTATTCAACTAAACTAGCATAAGCCGAGTGTTTAGTGAGAGTTGGTACTGCTTGCCTTAAGGTGAATGCAGTAAGTGAATATTATCATCAATAACGCGTTAGTTGTTTAGCACAAAAGTTCATACCAAACAAAAACGTAATAAACGAAATCTTCTATATAAAGTGTTCTACCTTTGTGCTTTGTTTCCTTTATTTGCTTGTTACTACATCCATAGACAACGCTAAAGTCCAGCATCTTCATGTAGTAACACTGTGCGGTTAAATGACACTCGTCCCGGGAGCACTGTACAAATATGGCGGCGCTAATGACGCGTGCTTAGGGTCCGTATGCGATATCTAGTGTATTTATCTATAGGTTCCATAATTTTACAAAATATCTTCTTTTGTGATCAACAGAAGAAACGAATTTGCGGAGAGTAAACTATGTCAGACTTTTTTTAGTTTTGCGTGAACTATCCCTTTAAAGGTCATTTCTCGGCTTGTCCTTATCCATCTTCGACACTTTCACACGTTCATATCAGTTTAAATATGTCCTCGTTAAATAACTCATATAAATTTTAATAAAAAATTAGAATAAATTGAGCAGTCACATGTTTTTTTCACTTTACAACCGTGTATCGATTAGTTGGTCTGACAGACTGAGACGCCGATGCAGGAAAGCTCGATGCTCGTGCGGAAGTGGCTCTGCCCAAAATATGGATAAATGAAGTCAAGAAAAAAGACAAATTAAAATGTAAGTCCATTGAGCAAGAAACAAAACACACACACAGACAGAGACTCCGCTATATTACACGATGAAGTTCGCATGTTTTATATGTGTTGGCAGCTTGTTTTTCTAGTGGGTTGTTGTTGTTTTGGGCTGGGTGTATTTTAGATGTCAAGCTGCAGTTAACGAACATGGAAACACTTCAGGTTTTTAACGTTACAGGAGTCCAGGATGATGTCAGCTTTTATTGTTCTTATTATGGGACAGGTTTGTCTTGCTCAGTGGTTTAAAGATTTGGGCTGCAGGTTCGACAGGTTTTTCATGACATCTGTAATCAGCTTGACAGCAGAATACAGCCCAGCCCAAACCGGCAGCTAATAAAAAGCATTGAGGTAAAGCTGGTTTCATATTCACACATTCAGACTTTCTCCTTAATAATATAATTTCAGAAAAGCATTATTTGCCAATTTTAAGTACAGAAATCATGTTAGCAACCAATGACTATCAGAGCACAACAGTACAGTCAATTAAATGTGCTAATGTTGTTTAGAAGTCATACTTGCATGCTATTTCAGCCCCAATATTAAAAGTACAATACAGAGACCGGGTCACAAATTATTAATTAATTTAATGTGCGAATATAAAAACAACTTTACCTCAAAAAAAAAAAGCTTGTTACTGTATTTACAATAGAGCCATGCAAATATTAACCTTGTTGAGAAAAAATTTAGTTTTTACAAAAATAGTTTTTGTGAAGGCTTGTATGTTACAATACTGTAAATATCTATCTATCTATCTATCTATCTATCTATCTATCTATCTATCTATCTATCTATCTATCTATCTATCTATATCTGTCTGTCTGTCTGTCTGTCTATCTATCTATCTATTTCTGTTTTTACTATCCATCCATTGATCTGTTTATCCATCCATCCATCCATCCATTTCTTTTTTCTTCCATCCGTCCGTCCATCCATCCATCCATCCATCCATCCATCCATCCATCCATCCATCCATCCATCCATCCATCTATCTATCCGTCCATCCATCTATTAATCTATTCATCCATCAATGAATCCATCCATCTATCCATCCATCCATCTATTGATGTATTCATCCATCAATTAATTCATCCATCCATCCATCCATCCATCCATCCATCCATCCATCCATCCATCCCTTTCTTTTTTCATCCATCCATCCACCCATCCATCCATCCATCCATCCACCCATCCATCCATCCATCCATCCATCCATCCATCCATCCATCCATCCATCCATCCATTCTCCTTCCCTTCCATCCATCCATCCATCCATCCATCCATCCATCCATCCATTTTTTTCAATCTATCCATCCATCCATTTATCTATCCGTTCATCCATCTCATTTCCAACTCTTCCATTCATTCATCCATCCATCCATCCATCCATCCATCCATCCATCCATCTATTTCTTTTTCTTCCATCCATCCATCCATCCATTCATCCATCCGTTTATCCATCCATCCATCCATCCATCCATCCATCCGTTTATCCATCCATCCGTTTATCCATCCATCCATCCGTTTATCCATCCATCCATCCATCCATCCATCCATTTATCCATCCATCCATCCATCCATCCATCCATCCATCCATCCATCAGTTTATCCATCCATCCATCCATCCATCCATTTATCCATCCATCCATCCATCCATCCATCCATCCATTTATCCATCAATCCATCCATCCCTCCATCCATCCATCCATCCATCCATCCATCCATCCATTCATCCATCCGTTTATCCGTTTATCCATCCATCCATCCATCCATCCATCCATCCATCCATCCATCCATCCATCCATCCATCCATCCATCCATCCGTTTATCCATCCATCCATCCATCCATCCATCCGTTTATCCATCCATCCATCCATCCATCCATCCATCCGATTATCCATTCATCCATCCATCTATCATACATTAAAAAAACATGAAAAATTTTATAATCTATAATTAATAGACTACCTTGATGTTAAGATGACATCAGATCATGCATTGTTATTTTTTGCTAACTGCATTAATGTCAACAAACACAACCTTGGATGTTAATGCATTAGAAAATGTTTAACAATGATTACAAGTATTGTTCATACTTAATTCATGTTTATTAATCAATGAAACCTGAAAATGCTGAAATACTGTAAGACAAGTGCCTCATGTTTTATATAATATGATAAAATATACATTTGTTGAATTATTTTCACATGGCATTGGCCTTAAAAAATCCCTAATTAACCCCCTGATTTAAACCTGCCAATAAACAAATGATTTACTCTCTATTTACCCCGAGTCTCAATGGCATCCCCATGCAGTGGTCAGACCGAGGGGCTGGGCAATAAAAACAGCACTAAAATGCAATTACGGTGCCTGAAGAATGGCCGAGCTTAGCAATTTGCCCGGGTTAAAGCAAGGAGATTGCGAGTCTGAGGCCACTGGGAATTCGGTGGCTGCTCCGTGTGGGAAAAACAGTGGGACGGCGAAAAGCAGCCTTTGTGAAGTAATTACTGGAACTAGTTGTGAACAGCAGCAGCAGGCTTCACTAATGATAACCCCTCTGCTCGACCCCCTCCAGTCACCTTGTCATTGATATACTTACGCTGATATAAGCACACTTCACTGCAGGGTGGGCTTCGCACAATGAAGGAGAAGTCAATGGGTTTTTCTGCTCGCTGCTGTCTTTTACAGGTGAACCAATGCAAACTAATGCATACGAGCTGCTTGATTCATCACACTTTACAATAAGGTTTCATTAGTTAATGCATTACTAACAAGAACTAAGTATGAACGATACTTGCACAATACCCTGGTAGCAAAGAATTCTGGCCCAGATTTGGTATAAAGCGTCTGGCACTGGCAAATAGCATGTGGGCCAAACATGGCCCGGTTTGGCAGAGGTGGCACCATCTTTAAGACTTGGGCCAGATGAAATGTAATATTTGGACTAGATGTTAAAAATTACCCACTTTTAAAATACATTTACGTTTTTTTGAGTAAAAAAATAAATCCTACCAATCAGGTCGCTTCGAGAAAAAGCGTGGCCATAAAGCAAAATGCTTCATGAGTTTTATCAAATTCATTGCAGTCGTGACACACCAACATATCTGACCCAGTTCAGACCCAGTTATGGGTTTTTAACTTGGCTGAGACTTGGCCCAGATATGATCCATGTATGGAAGCCAGACTAGGTGCAATCATGTACCATAATTCATTGCTGCATGTGGGCCAAGCAAAAGCTTATAGTGTGGGCCAGATCTGGGCCACACAAATTTTTCTATATGGGCATCAACATCTACCCAACATAGCAAATGTTTTCCGGCCCAGCTCCGGGCCACACAATAACTTTTCCCTCGGCCCAAGTACCGCAAAGAATGGCGGTCCTGAAGTGGCCCATAAGTGGATTAAAGAAAAAGGCCACACATGGGCCATAACCAGCCCGAATCTCAGCCAATTTATCACCCCTAACTGGCCCTGAACTGGGCTAAAACAGGTTTATTATTGGTACCGATTCATGTATAAGTTGTAGTTGGCCATGCATGGCCCACATTTGGCTGACATTATGCATGCAAGTGCCGACAACACGCCAGCAGTGCCTTAATGAGGCCACATTAGGGCCATGTCTGTTTGCTGTGGGTAAGTAGCAAAGAAATCTGGCCCAGATTTCACATGCTGGCACAGCAGGCATTTGTCCAACACTGGCAAACAGCATGTGGGCCAAACATGGCTTGGGTTTGGTTGAGGTGACACCCCATTTAAGGGGATGCACAACACTTGGGCCAGATCAAATGTAGTATTTGGCCCAGATGTTAAAAATGTATATGTGGGCCACATAAATTTGGCCTATCCTGACCCACTTTTAAAATACATTTGAATTATTTTGGAGTAAAGAAAAAATTCTACCAATCAGGTCGCTTTGAGAAATAAACGTGGCCATAAAGCAATATGCTTCATGGGTTTATTAAATTCACTGCAGTCATGACACACCAACATATCCGACCCAGTTCAGACCCAGTTATGGGTCATTTACTTGGCTAAGACTTGGCCCAGATATGGTCCATGTTTGGCCCTTGTATGGAAGCCAGACGTGGTCCAATTATGTACCATAATTCATTGCAGCATGTGGGCCAAGCAAAAGCTGATTGTGTGCGCCAGATCTGGGCCAGATAAATTTGGCTATGTGGGCATCAACATCCAGGTAGCAAAGAATTCTGGCCCAGATTTGACATAAAGCTGGCACAGCAGGCATTTGTCCAACACTGGCATACAACATGTGGGCCAAACATGGCTTGGGTTTGGCAGAGGTGGCACCGTCTTCAAGGCAACACTCAAGACTTGGGCCAGATCAAATGTAGTATTTGGCCCAGTAGTTATCAATGTATATGTGGACCATGTAAGTTTGGTCTATCTTGACCCATTTTAAAAATACATTTTAATTATTTTTGAGTAAAGAAAAAATTCTAAAATTCTACCAATCAGGTCGTTAAGAGAAAAAGCGCGGCCATAAAGCGATATGCTTCATGGATTTATCAAATTTATTGCAGTCGTGACACACCAACATATCTGGCCCAGTCCAAGCCCAGTTATGGGTAATTAATGTGGCTGAGACTTGGCCCAGATATGGTCTCCGTTTAACCCTTGTTTGGAAGCCAGACTTTATCCAATCACATAGGAAATTTTGCAGAGATGTGGGCCAAGCAAAAACTGATTCTGTGGGCCAGATCTGGGCCAGAGAAGTTTAGCTATTTGGAATTGTAAACAATAAACTATGATTAATAAATGCCCACACAGCGAAAAATCTCTGGCCCAGATCTGGCCCACACAATCAGCTTTTGCTTGAGCCACATGCCGCAGTGAATTACGGTGCAGGACTGGACCAAGTCTGGCTCTCAGAAATAAGGGTACGCGAGCTGTCACTGGGGTGGTACCATTTCAAAAGGAACACATCTGTACTTAAAGGGTCCATATTGGTACCTTAAAAGTATATATATTAGTGCCTAAAAATTTTAAGAAGAACACTTTTGTACTTTTAATGTACTGATATGTACCCCTGAACTATTAATATGGACCTTTTAGGTACAAATGTGTACCTTTTGAAAGGTACCTCCCCAGTGACAGATTGAGTACCTTTAGATAGAGAGATGGACACCTTTATAGAGTGTAGAAGGGCCAAACATGGACCATATCTGGGCGGAGTCTCAGCCAAGTAAATAACCTAGAACTGGGCTAGAAGTGTCATGACTGCAATTAAATTGATAAACCCATGAAGCATTGGGCGTTAGGCATGCTTTTTTCCTTGCAGCGACCTAATTGGTAGAATCTTTTTCTTCACTTCAAAATAATTTAAATGTGGGTCAAGACAGGCCAACATACGTGGCCCACATATACATTTTTAACATCTGGGCCAAATGCTACATTTGACATGTAGCTTAAGTCTTGTGTGCTGCCTGTGAAGGTGCCACCTCTGCCAAACCCTGGGCCATGTTTGGCCCACATTCTGTATTACAGTGCCAAACAAATGCCTGCATTGCCAGCTTTAGGCCAAATCTGGGCCAGAATTC